GTTGGTAGGTGGACAGCTGAATGGGTGGGTGGGTGGGTGGGTAGGTGTGTGGGTAGGTGGATGGGTGGGTAGGTGGGTAGGTGGATGGATGGGTGGATGAGTGGGTGGGTAGGAAGATGGATGGGTGGATAGAGCAGGTCACTGGGTGGATGGGTGGGTGGGTAAATGGAGAACTGCCTGAGAATCTGGGGCATCTTGGTACAAGAAGGGCTCTGGCTGGGTGTGGTGGCGCACACCTGTAATCCCAGCACTCAGGAGGCTGAGGCAGGAGGATCATTGTGAGTTTAAGGCCAGCCTGGGCTACAAAGTGAGCTTAAGCACAGCCTGAACTGGATGGTGGGATCCTGTCTCAGAGAGATGAAAAGAAGAAGAAAAAGAAGAAGAAAAAGGGCTCTGCCCAGGCTTTTGCTTGGAATGAGCCTGTGCCAGCTATTGGAGAGAGTGGTACAGGTTGCTGAGCAGCTGAGAGGCCTCTCACTGACTGGTAGTCAGTGCCCTGATGGCCACGCCCTGAAAGGGTCATGGATAGCAGGTGTCCTATAAAGGATGCTGAGCTTGTGAGTGCTGGATGCCCCCAGAAGGAGGCTCCCAGAGGCAGGTGGCCCTTGGGAGGCCCACAGGGGAATGAGGACTCAGGCATCGTTGGCACAAGATGGCCACCAGGGCGGTGGTGAGGTAAGGTCATGGTGGATGTGCAGAGGTGAGGATGGCAGGAGACAGAGCTGTCTGGCACCCATGGCCTGATGAGAAGGGGGCTCCCCAGGCCTCAGTAGGGTCCGGAAGGACAGGAGGTCAGGGAACCATGTAGGTCTCTCAAGGTCTGTGTGCCTCAAAGTGGACGGGCTTGGGTGTACCAGCCAGCTGGGCACGGGAGACAGGAGCGATGTGCCCTTGACAGAGAGGGGCCCAAACATGGCACCACAGAGCAGCCGGGGGCAAGACCTGGGGTGAGCATCACCAGATGCTCACACGGATGTCAGTGTGGCATACCAGAGCTGGAAAGAAGTCCTGTGTGGGGTGGGGGGCACGGAGAGGCCGTCTGGGCAGAGCCCACTTACGTGGAGGGTTGGCAGAGCAGGGGTCCTGGCAGGAGGTCAGAGTCTCATCCCACGTGGGCCCCTGCCAGGCTGTGGGAGTGCCAGCACATGCTGCTGCTGGGGTCCAAGGAAGCCTGGGGTGGGTTTGTCCCCCATGCAGGTAGCCCCAGGGGACTGTGTTGCCCCTACATGCTGGGCTGAGGAGGCAGCTGGTCAGAGGACACAGGCTGTGGGCTCCAGCAGAGCCTCTCTGAGGAAGCACTGTGCCAGGCTACAGCTGGGGTGGGCCAGCCAGGGCATCACTGCTGCACGCTGATCATTGGGACGTGCCTGTGGTCTTCGCCTAGGGGAAGTACATGCCCCCTGCAGTGTGGCCAGGGCTTAGATCTCCCAGAATCCTTTGGGCTTGCCTGCCCCAATCCTGCTCAGCTCTGGCACTGGAGTCAGAGCTCACATTACAGCTGCCATGGTCTCAGCCCACTCCCTGCTCTGCCTCAGTTTCCTTGCTTGTGGAGGTGGGCATCAGTGGCATCCACCTCTTCTGTGGCTGTCATGTCCACACCAGCTGCCATCTTTTCTGCTGATGCAGGCTGAGCCAGACGCTGGTGAAGGACGTGGCCATCCTGACCCAGGAGATCCATGATGTGGCCGCAGATGGTGATTCACTGGGCTCCTCAGGGCCCGCACATAACTCCGCCCTCGGGAGCATGCCCAGCACCCCTGCCTCGACCATCTCTGCACGCGAGGAGGTGAGTCCTGGCCTCCTGGGTGCCACACCTGGGGGCAGCTGGCAGAGAGCATGGCCCCATGGTGCCTCCCCCACCTAGCTCATTCCAGCTTAGCTGGCCACCAGTGTGTCTGGCGTGGCTCCCCACAGAGCCCCGGAGTATGGGAGTTGTGAGCAGCCCTGTCCGGCTGCTCGCACCCGAGGGGCAACAGAGGGTTGGGTGACAGGTCACCCCTCACCTGCCCTCCTGCCTGGGCCACAGAGCCAGTACCACCTACCTCACCCCTGCAGTTGGTGCAGCGCATCCCAGAGGCCAGCCTCAACTTCCAGAAAGTGCCGCCCGGCACCCTGACCTCTCGGGACGTGGACCAGAACATGAACAACAGCCATGAGGACGCCCTGGGCAACAAGACAAGGCCTCGGAACCGCGAGGAGGCACGGTGCCCCCTGCCCCAAGCGTGCTGCTCTGCCGTGGGGGTGGGGGTCTCTGCTGGCGTCCAGGGTGCTGAGGGATGTGGGGCTTCCTGGGGCTGCCAGGGCCCTACTAATGCCCACACCCCTGCAGGTGATCTTCGACAACCTGATGCTGAACCCAGTGTCCCAGCTGTCCCATGCCATCCGGGAGAACACAGAGCACCTCACCGAAAAGATAAAGTGAGTTGGCAGCAGGGTCAGCGGACTGGCACAGTGAGGACTGGCCAGGCTCGTACCGTGCCGGGGCTTGCAGCCCTGTGGGTCTTGCATGTGCCATGCCCATGTGCAGCTCCTGGCAGGCAGCCCCGAGCTCAGGGGCCCCACCACCTCCCCCTGCCCCAGACCCAAGCCCGGCCATCCATACCCTCAGGGCCAGGGACAGAGGGGGACTGTGGTGCCAGCATCTGGTCCTGCTCCTGGTCTGGGCCTCAGTTCCCATCCTGGGCCCAAGGCGTGGCAAGAGCTTTCTCGTGGTGGGAGGTGGGAGAGCCAGGCTTCATTTCCTCGTCCCCGGCAGGATCCTCTTCCAAAACACGGGCCGCGCATGGGAGGACCTGGAAGCTAGGATCAACGCAGAGAACGAGGTGCCCATCCTGAAGACATCCAACAAGGTGAGGCCCCACCCCTCCCAGGGCCTGGCCTCGCCCGTCCCACCCGAGCCCAGGGCCCCCGCTCACCTGCCACCTTTGCCCGCCCAGGAGATCAGCTGCATCTTGAAGGAGCTGCGGCGCGTGCAGAAGCAGCTGGAAGGTGAGTGAGGCTCGCCTGGATGAGGTGGCAGGGGCGGAGGTGGGGGTCCCCACCTAGGCCTCCACCTGACCCAGCCTTCCCCACCCCCAGTCATCAACGCCATTGTGGATCCCAGTGTCAATCTGGACCTGCTCACAGGAAACAGGGCTCCCACGGGCCCCACCACCCAGGGGCTGGGGAAGGGCCCAGCCATGCCTGCCCCAGTCGAGAGCCTGCTGCCTCTGAGGGGCTTCCCACCGAGGGCCACCTGCGGGCCACCCGGCCTCCCGGAGTCCACCTTCCTCCCCGATGCTGAGCACTTCCTGATCTAGGTCCGAGCCAGGCCAGGCCTCCGCCTGCCTGTCCACCGCCCGACCTGCTGCCTGGCCACAGTGTCTCTGAATCCCCTCCATGTGCCATAGCCCCTCAGATGGGCACCTCCTGCCCCGCCAGCACCCCACTCGCCTTGCCCACCCCCGCGGCCACCCCCCACCCAGGCTTCCTGGTCCAGCTCCTGGTGTGGCCGCTGCCAAGGGCACCCCCCCCCCCGTCCTTTCATCATTAGCTTTCAAGGAAAGAGTAGTCTGTGCCAAGGCAGTGCCCAGCCCTGCCTGTGATGCCCTGAGGCCGGGGAGGGTCGCCCTGCCTCGTTGGAGGCCTCTGCTGACCTGTCCCTCCCTCTGTGCTGGCCCGAGGCCAAGCACGGGAAGAGGGTGGGCTGGGGCTGTTCTGTGCCAATTGTGAGCTGGGGTCCTGGGCCCCGAACAGAGCTGCCTCAGAGTCCACAGCTGGGCAGGCACACTGCTGTGGAGAAACTGGGGCAGGATCCCCACAGCTCCGAGCTTTTGGTGCCAACACAACTGCCAAACCCCCAAGCTTGAGGGCTGCCAGTGGGGCCCTCCTAGTGTGGGCACAGGTGAGGGGATGTGGGTGGCCGTGCAGGCAGCCCAAGTGCCCCTCTGTGCTGCACCAGAGGTGTGGGGTGGCAGAGATACCAGTAGCCCCTCAGTGGGGAGGGCTTGACCAAAGTGACTGGAAACAGGTTTCTGGAAGCTTGTGCAGGGGTGTAGACAGTGTGCCCCAGTTCCACCCCTGTTCCCCCAGATGCTGTGGGCATTAAGTGGGCATCTGCAGCAGGCAGTGGCCTGATCCCTTGCAGGGGACAGCGGGGGGACAGGGACAGGCCCCAGAGCAGTGACGCTTTCTCAGGATTCTTCCAGCTGGGAACAAGCCCCTCTGCAGAGCCCCTCTGGAGCCTCAAGCCAAAGAGCCGAGGCTGGGCTGGGCTGGGCAGGGCGACCGCCTCCACAGACAGGCACTGGTACAGGGCAAGGGCTGGAAGAGGCCACAGGTGGATCCAGAGGCCGCGCGGCGAGGCCTCCCTGTTTACAGTCTGCTGACGCGGAGCCGGGCATGGGTCTGTGAGCTGGTGCCTGGCCCACCCGATGTTTACGTGTGTGTGCAGGGGTGGGTGGCAGATGCCACTGGGCCCCACCCTGAGAGCCTGCTGTCCCTTTGGAGGAGGTGCTAGCCGGGCTGCTGCCCACCTGCATGCCCTGCGCGGTGGCCAACAGCCTGGCCTCGGAAACACAGTGGCCGCTCACCTTCGTCCATGCCCCGCCCCTGGTCACCGCTGTACAATTTTTTTATGCACACGTTGGTGTTCCTCCCCACATCACAGTCCCGGTACCGCCCCTGCCTGGCTTCTCGGCGGTGTCTCTACATTGTTCTCAGGTGGTCTCGTGGATGTCTCAGAAAATGGTTATTTTATATGATTTGTCATGGAATTTGTTCTAATAAATCATTCTTGTATCACGTGGCAGCACACCAGGTCTGCCGCCTCACTGCATGTGTTGGGGTCAGGCGTCTCCTGGGCAGGGCCAGCTCCGCCACACCCAGGGGGCTGCAATCCAGAGGAGCGGCCACCAGGTGGCAGCTGAGCCAAGGAAGGAAAGCAGATGTTTGCTTTGGAGAGAGAAAAGACGGTTATTTTACTACAGCCATTCAAGGACACAGCGCCCGAGTGCTCCTGAAAGTATGCCAAGTGCATACAGATAGCAAGAGGGGCCCCAGCTGCAGTGCTGGGAGCCCTTGACAACCCCAGTCCTTTCTCCCCTTTATGGCCTGGGAGGGGTCTTCCTGCCAGAGGGTGGTTGCCCGCTGTCTGCACCTCCTCCAGCTCCATGTAGGCCCGGGCCAGGCACAGGCGCAAGTCCCGCTGGTGCAGGTGGCTGCGGTCTGAGCGCCCCGAGGACAGCCAGCCCAGGGCCCGCCCCTTAGCCCGCCACTGGCCTGGTCCGGTTCTGGGCTGGCTGGTGAGCCAGGAGCAGGGCGTGGCTGCCCTCTGGCCCCCGGTGGGGGGAGTGGGGGTAGGGCAGCACAGGTCTAGACTGAGGGGTGCAGCTTGCTTCCTGGGCTGCCCGCTGGGCCCAAGTCTTCCCTTTTGAGCCTCACAGCCTGCCCGGGCTCCTGGCCCGACTGCAGCTTCCCTGGAAGGAGAAGCAAGGGGCTGTTCTATCTCTGCCTGCCCGCCCCGCTAAGGGCCAGGCAGGGTTGTGCGTCCCCCTGTGTGGAGGTGGGTGGGCAGGCTGGCAGGCAGATGGGCACAAACTCTGGCCTGTTCCATCCCTTCTTCCTTCACTCCCAGCAGTGGCCCTTGCAGAGAGCATGTGGAGCCCAGCAGCCTCTGCCCGTGCTGGGGAGATGTCGAGCTGGGCTGTAAGAAGGGTGAGGTGAGGTGCCCACACGGATGAGGCCAGGTCAGTCCCGTAGCCTGCACCGGGCTGCTCCTGGGATGACACCCCCGGCCCGGCCATCTTCGTGGGGCTACGCAGGAGGCGGCCCAGTGCCTGCCCCATGGGCGGGGGAGGTGAGACAGTGGCTGCCAGGCTCCCGGTGTGTGGCATCGGAAGGGGAAAGGCAAGGCCTGGTCTGGGCAGTGGGGAGAGGAGGGTGTGGCTCTAGAGGTGGTAGTTTGGCCTGGGGAATGGGTTGGGGTGCGGAAAGGAGCCGACAGTAGCGGTCAGAGCCTGCACAAGGCTCGTAGGGCGTGGCGGGGCTCAGCTGGCAGAGGGGCTGTGGGGCAGTGGAGGGTGTGGGTGACATGGTGAGCTCATGTCAGGGTCTAGGGATGTCACGGGGTAGGACTCAGCTTGGAGTTTGCAGGAGAGACGCCTGTGGGGACAGAGACGGCGGCTCAGGGGCGCCGAGCCTGATGGGGTCTTTCATCGTTAGTAAAACACCAAGGCATAGATACATGAATTCATCTCTGATTACTTTTGTTGTTGGCAAACAAACCTGGAAGAATTAGGTTCACATATTTCCCACACAAAAACCAATGGCTTTCTGAAAGCTTTGTTTCATTGTGGTGTTTTGCTCGTATCCCCGAGACCCCCCTACCCTGTCCTCCCTGCGCCCCCGACCTCCGCCTCTTGTCCAGCAGGCTCCCTCCTGCCTTCACGTAATGCTCTTTCCAGAGCCCGTGCGTGAGGGAAAATGCGGTGCTTGCCTTCTGTGTCGGGGTTGTTTCACTTCGCGTGACGGTCTCCACTTCCACCCGGCGTCCTGCAGGTGACACAGGACTCTGTCGCTTTGATGGCCGAATGACACCCCACAGTGCGTATGTAGCACATTTTCTCATCCACTTACCCATTGACAGGCATGTGGGCTGATTCTCTGCCACAACAAACATGGGAGTGCAGGTACAAAGCTGGTTCAGTTCTGAGTATCTGCCGAGGAGGGGTGCAGCTGGATCACCCTGTGGCTCTACTTCTAGCTTTTTGAGGACCCTCCATGCTGATTTCCGCAGGGCTGCGCTGACCTGTGCTCCCACCAGCAGTGGCTTACTCTCCCCTCTCCCCACACCCTCAGCAGCGTCTGTTGTTTCTTATATTCTGGGTGAGAGCCTTTCTGACTAGGGTGAGATGGAATCTTTACATAATGGCTAAAGCTTTTTTCATACATTTATTGGCCATTTGTAACTCCTATTTTGAAAAGTGTTTATCCTGTTCATTTTCCCTTTATTGGTTTAAATTTTTTTGTTTGATTTTGTTTTGTTTTGTTCTGAGACAGGGTCTCGCTGTGCAGTTCAGACTGGCCTTGAGCTCTCTGTCGTCCTGCCTCAGCCTTCTGAGTGCTGGGATGACAGCCTCGTGCCGCCACACCCAGATTTTTGCTTTTGAGGATTGGTTTTTTTTGGTGATGTTTTGAGTTCTGCAAACTGGATATTACTCCTTGTGGGAGACCCACAAACCATGCTCCCCTGAAAAACAAAGCCCTTTGCTTCAACCCTATTCACGGAGATACGCAGAGCTGGCTGTATAGAAGCAGATGTCCCCTTAATTGGCCACAAGAATGTGAGTCCAGCCAAGGCCGATGAATCCTGCGAGCCAGCTGCACGTGGCGAGAATAGCCCCTGCTGATGGCTGGAATGGGGGCTCGAGCCTCTGACACTCCAGGGCTGAGACGTGAGACAACACCTCAGCCGAGGCCATGGGACTCAGGAAGATTCATACCTTCCTGGCAGGAGAGGTGCAACCTTCCAAACATCAAGTTATCTGTTGCACCACTAACTGGGGAGCCTCCGTGCCTGGGGCAAGCGTGCTCTCCTCCTCCTTCACAAGCCATGCCTGTGAGTTTTTCTTCTCATGCATCCTGCCAAGACGCCCACCCGCCTCCCTGATTGGTACCAATGAAAGCCGTGGGCACTCTGACGTTGGCCTTTTGTTCCACCGAGAGCATTATCATCCCAGAGCCCCTTCAACTGCAGATTTTTTCTTTCTTTGTCTTCTTTTTCATCCATGTTCCATATTGCCAGGTGGGAGCCCGGAGCCCTCCATGGGGTTTTGGTAACTTCTCCTCCAGGACAGTAGCCGGCAAGGATTTCCCTTCCCCGTTCTGTAGGTTGTGTCTGCGCTCTGCTGACTGTTTGCTTTGCATGCGTAAGCTGTTTAACTGGCGTGATCTCGTTCACTGGTCCTTGATGTTATCTGGAGGCCGGCTCAGGATGTCTGCCTGTGCCCACATCTCAGTGTTTTCCCTGCGTTTTCTTCTGCAGTTTCAAGGTTTCTGGTTTTATGCTGGGGTCTTTGAGCCATTCTGAATTGATGTTTTTATGAGGCAAAAGGTAAGGATCTGCTTGCAGTTTTCTACATGTGGAATACCAGTTTTTTTGACACCGTTTGTTGAAGAGGGTGTGTATTCTCTGACGCGTTTTTGGCACCTTTGTCTATGAGAATCAGACGGCCGTAGCTTCAAGGATTTATTTCTGGGTCCTCTGCTCTATTCCCTTGGTCTGTGCTTCTAGTTTTATGTCAGTACCATTCTGTTTCTCCCTAGGGCTTTGTAATACACTTTGAAATCAGATATTGCTTTTTGCTCAGAACTGCTTTGGCTATCTGGGTTCTTTTGTGATTCTGTATGAATTTAAGGATTGTTTTTTCTAGTTCTGTGAAGAATCTATGTCATTAGTATTTTGATGGGGATTGCGCTGAATCTATATATTGTTTTGTGTAATATGACTATTTAACTACTTTGATTCTGTCAGTCCATGAACATGGGAACTCTTGTCTCTTAGTGTCTTCAATTTCTTCAGTGTTTTACAGTTTTCCTTATAAAGGCCTTCTACCTCTTTGGTTAGGTTTATTCTTATGAATTTTTTTTTTGTTTGTTTGTTTTTGTTTTTTTGTTTTTCTCCAGTACCGGGAACTGAACTCACGACCTTGCGCTTGCCAGGCAGGCGCTTTGCCGCTGAGCTAAATCCCCAGCCCCTTATTCTTATGAATTTTTAAAACTATGGTAAATGGAATTGTTTTCCTGATTTCTTTCTCAGAGAGTTCATTATTGGCATATAGAAAAGGTACTGATTTCTGTATACTAATTTCAGACATAGTTGGGTTTTTTGTTTGTTTGTTTTTTGTTTTTTAAGACAGAGCCTGACTATAGTTCAGGTTAGCTTTGAACTCGCTATGTAGCCCTAGCTGACCTGGAATTCACGGTGATCCTCCTGCCTCAACCTCCAAGTACTGGGATGATAGGCATGCACCACCACACCTGGCTCTGTGTACTGACTTTATACCCTGCTACTTTGTTGAATTTGTTTATTAGTTCTAAGAATATTTTGGTAGGGCCTTTATAAGAGCCTTTAGGATCTTGTAGTTATAAAATCCTATCACCTGTAAACAGGAATAATTTTACTTCCTCCTTTCCTACTTGTATCCCTTTTATTTCTGTCTCTTGCCTGATTTCTCTGGCTACAATTTCAAAGTACCACATTGAATAAGAGTGTGGGGGGGGGTGGACACACTTGTCTTGTTCCTTATCTGAGAGGAATGCTTTTAGTTTTCCCAGCTCAGTATATTGGCTGTGGGCTTGTCATGTGTATGCTTTACTAGGCTGGGGTAAGATCCTTCTGTATGTACAGCAGTTCCCTCAGGGCTTTCATCATGAAAGGAGATTGAGTTTTATCAAAACTTTTTCTGTGATTGTGATGACTGTGTGATTTTTGTCCTTGATTCTAGCTATAGGGTGTGTTATTCTGTCAGTTTGTGTACATTGAGCCATCCTTGAATCCCTGGAATGAGACCAATCTGATCATGGTGCATTATCTTTTTAATGTTTTGTTGAATTTGTTTGCAAGTATTTTACTGAGGAATTTTGCATCTATCTTCGTCAAGAATGTTGGTGTACAGTTTTCTTTTTGTGCTATGTTCTTACCAGTTTCGGTGTCAGGGTGATACTGGCTCCGTAGAATTGAGTTTGGGAGTTTTCCTTCTCTTTCTGTTTTATCAAATAGTTTGGGGAGAATTGGTGTTCTTCTTTAAAGGTCTGGTAAATTTCAGCACTGAATCCATCCAGTTCTTGGGGTTTCTTTGTTGAGAGACTGTTATTACTGCTCCCATTTTTTTTTTTTTTTTTTCCAGACAGGGTCTCTCTATGCAATTCAGGCCGGCTTTGAGCTCACTTTGTAGCCCAGGCTGGTCTCGAACTTGCAATGGTCTTCCTGCCTCAGCCTCCCAAGCGCTGGGATTACAGTCCTGCACTATTGCTCCCATCTTAATGCTAGTTATTTATCAGTTTAGGCTTTTTATATCCTCTTGGTTCAATTTTGGGAGGTCAAGTATGTCCAGAAATTTATGTAGATCTTCTACATTTTATAATTTATTTGAACATAAATTTTCAAAATAGTTCCTAATAATCCCCTAGATTTCACTATTGTCTGTTGTGATATCCCCCTTTTCATTTCTGATTTTATTAATTTGGGTCTTTCTTTCTTTTGGTTAGTTTGGCTAAGGGTTTATCTTGTTCATCTTTTCAGAGAACCAACACTGCTTCATTAATCCTTTGGACTAGTCTGTCAGTCTCCATTTTGTTAATTTCAGTTTTTATCTTTATAATTTCTTTCCTTCTACTGGTTTTGGATTTAGTTGTTCTTCATATTCTAAGCTCCTGAGAGGAGGGGCCTGGGGATTTAGCTCAGCGGCACAGCGCCTGCCTGGCAAGCGCAAGGTCATGAGTTTGATTCCTGGTACCGAAAAAAAAAAACCCAAAAAACCCCCAAAACCCATAAGATCCTGAGATGCATCATTAGGCTACTTGAGGTCTCTCGGATTTTTTTTTAATGCAGGCACTCATAATGATAAACTCCCTTCTTAGAACTGTTTTCAGTGCATCCCAGATCCTGGTACGCTGTGTTTCCACTTTTGTTTGATTTTAGAAAGTTTTAACTCCATCTCAATTTCTTCATTAAAAGACTATTGTTTTATCTCCATGTCTTAGCACAGTTTTTGTAATTTCTCCTACTCTTTTTCTTAAGTGTCTCTTTTTTTTTTATTATTTAGGCTTACTTTGAAAATGAAAGTGAATTTTTAAATGCTTTTGAAAAGTAAATACTAATTAATGAATTTACTGTTATACTCAAAATCGTCTGCTCTTAAGCTGAGGATCTTTGCCAATAGAAAGGCGCTGTTCCAAATTACGAATGATAATACAAAGAATTGTAGTTTCCCTGTTTTTTTCTTCTTGGAAATGTTGAAGCTCCCTTCTGTAGATACTTTGTGGGTAAACAGCAGCACCTGGGTAGGGTTTTGATTTAGTCGGAACTCTTGCTAGTTTGGCATCAGACTGGGGAGCTTTTAAAAAGTACCAAATGCCTGGGCACCTTAGAGATAGTAGGGGATGGTTGGTGTCTTTTTCTCAAAGTAGGTGATTCTATCGTGCTGCCGGGGTTGAGGACCTAGTTTAACTCCAGCTGTAGTTTATTTCATTTTGCTTTTCCTTTTCTTGAGTTACTAACTTTGCATTTAACTCTGAAATTTCCATCTATTTTTTCTTTATTAGATCTTTGTGCTTTTCTTCATTTAATTCAACTTTTTCTGCATATTTTGATAAAGTCTGCTTATTTTATCTTATGTTCCTACTCTTTGATTTTTATTTCATATGCAAGTTTGGTGATATTATTCTGATATTCCTGTTCTTGAGATTTTAGCCTTTCCTCTGTCATATCAACATTTCTTTTTAGTTGTTCATTTTCACCTTTCAAATTGTGTTGCTATTCAGTAGTCTGTTGTAGCCCTTTTATCATATCGTGAAGAGCAGCACATTCTTTTTTAAGTGAGACTTTCTTTGTTTGGATTACTTTTAATAAACAGGTGGTCTTTCCAACTGAATCCGCAGTACATTATTCTTTCCACTAGTTTCTATTATTTTCTTTTCTACATGTGAGAAATCCTTTATAAGTTTGTCAATATTTACACTGCTGACTTTTTCTGTATGTCCTTCACTGCTTTGATCCATGCTTGACCTCAGCGCTGCCCGGCCCACAAGGTTCCTGGTCCGAAGCTAGGGCTTGGGGTTCTCTCCACGTGTCCGGTGTGCGCTGGGCCGAGGTTTAACTCTGACATGGAGCCCAAAGACTCACAGATGTTAGACGAGTGGCTGGGGTAAATCCTTGTAGGGACTCAGGGTACTGTGCGGAGGCATGCAGGACCTACTGAAAAAAGAGCGAGTTCGGAGTCACCCACGAAGAGTCCTGGATGTACCTACCGTCACCCCCAGTTCCTCAAGGCCTCTCCCCAGTTTCTTCTCCTCTTGATTTCTACTTTCATTGTTATGATCTGATGCCAGAAATTACTTCAGGGTTTTTTTATTTGTTAAAATTTTCTTTGTGGCCTAAGATATGATCTATTTTGTAGAAAAAGATCCATAAACTGCTGAAAGGAAATTGTATTCTGAGTTGTTCAACGGCATACTCTATACATGTGTGTAATAAGCCCTTTTGGTCTGTAGTGTAGTTTAACTCTGATCCTTCATTGTTCATTTCTTTTTGTCCAGATGACCTGTTTGTCTTAGTTACTTGTCTCTCATTGCTGGGACAAATACCCAACACCCAAAGTTAAAAATGAAAGGTTTATTTAGCTCACAGTTTGTGGAGGTTTCAGTCCATAATCCACTGGCTCCAAGGAAGAGTAGCACATGGCAGAGGGCAACAGTTCATGGTGGCAGAAGACAGCAAAGCAACAAAGAGGAGAGAGGAAGAGAGCAGCCTCTTTCCCTCCCTTCTAGTATATGTAAACTACCCACCTAGGGCAGGTATAGCATTCACACCTTTAATTTCAGCATTAGACCATGAACCAATCACAAACTCTAGATTCAGCCACCTCCAAAAAGCCAACCCCCCATGATCACATGAGGCTTCGGGGGCCTCATTGGTGAGATGGGGTGTTAGAGTTAGACAGGTGTAGGGAGGGTGCTCTACACAGCCTACCAGAGTTGCTGAGTTGAGACTCAGATTAGAGTTCAGGGAGGCTGTGGCAGCCAGGATCAGCAGAGCAAAATAGTGGAGAGGAGGTCATAGCCCAGAGCATGAGCCCAGAGGTCACCATCTGTACACACAAGAGAAGAACCCACATGAGGCAGGGCACGTGACCACTGGATGCCTGAGGCTGGACATGCCTTGGACTGACACAGGCTTGGGATGTGTGTGTTCCACCAGTTGGAGAAGAGACCTTGGGACACACAGGACCCTGAAGAGTTCTTGAAAGGAAGTGCTGTAGGAGAAGGGCTGAATTTCCTATTGTTCTGCCCCAGGCCCCAGAAATGCCTCAAAGCAAATCTCAAAATTAAAGTAATTTTGGAAGAACAAAGCCCAATATTTATCAAAGGAATACTACAAAATCCAGCATCAGCAGCATAATGTCCCATCAAAAATGACCAGGCACGCAGGAGAGGATGATCATATCGAGAAATGAGAAGACACATCCAGCAGGAAAGATATAGTGCATGATCTTCCCAGCAAACAGGAAAAAAGACAGACACTGCAGGAAAAAAGATCATTCTTTTTTATACTGAAAATATGACAATAAAAACTACCCAAAATAAATCATGGGGGGGTTTTAAAGATAAAGCACAGAACAGCACATCTCTGGTTCATGAGAGAGTATCAACCAGCCCCACATACATGGAGTTGAAATCTCAGAAAAAAGACGATAGTACAGAAGAAAATATTTACAGTGAAATGGCAAAATATTTTCCACAATCTGTAAACCCATGGATCCAATAATTCAGCCACTACCAAGGAAATATACAAATGAAAATAATTGGTACAACATAAGTACGTCGGTGAAATTCATAAAGAACTGAAAAGCAGGCAAAGAGAAGAGGTTTATTATCTACCAGGACCAGAGATGAGAACAGAGCTGCCTTCCGGTGCAGCTGTAAAAGCTGCAACAGCAAACTGTGTAGAAGGCAGAACAGAATCAGCAAATAGCGTTCATCATAGAAAGGTTTTTTAAATAAAATTGAGATATCATAAAACTAGAACCCTCTGTCCATCCACATGCACCGTGAAGAAAGTGGCTAAGGTATTAGCTCTGCTTAGATCCAACAAATAACTTGTATTCAAAATATATAACTATTTCAAGTCAGAGAAAAATTGAAAAGCCAACCTGAGACAGTCAGGGCCCACCACGGGGGGACGAAAGGCGGGCACAAGAGGATGGGCCCTGGGCGCTGTCGCCCAGTTACCCTCGTGGCAGGCAGGAGGCTTCTGCCCTGTGTTCCCTGCAGCAGACCTATGGTGAGAGCCCAAGGGGCCCGAGGCAGAATCTGAACGGAGTCAGGGAGAGCCTGAGTGGCCCAGCGGCTCTCCTCTTGGTGGAGGTGAAGGCCGCTGGCTGTGGTGCGGAGCCCGCACGGCGGGGCCCAGCGTTGTCGGCTCCCTCTAGCTTTGCTGTAGAGACTTCTGACCTGTGGGTTATGGTGACAGCTGCCTGGTTGCTTCTCAGGGACCCGAAGGCCACTTGTGCTGAGACGCTGACCTTTCACTGGGGCCTTCTGATGGATGAGCGGGTGGAGACGAGAGGTCGGCCTGTCTGTCCTTATTTCTGTCTTATTCCACTCAGCTGTGCATGATGGCCTGCTGGGGTTGGTGAGCGTCTGTCGGTCTCTGTCTCTCTCCCAGGGCCTCACACATGCTAGGCAAGTGCTCAGCCCTGGGCTAACCCCGGCTCCTGCCCTCTCTTCCCCACACCCACTCCTTTCACTGCGGCACATCCCAGGCACCTAGAGTCCTTCGGCCCCGTCAGAAGACCCTGACCCCACCAGAAGGCCCGGCTTTGGTGCTGACCGCTAGAGGAGCGCAGCAACTCCTCAGACAAGGGACCGTGGCTGTTCAGTGGCTGGATCGCGCAGAAAGGAAACAGCTTTTGAAGCAGTGGCCCCGACAGAGTTGCTGCTCTTCGGCCCGCCCCTTGCTTCTGCCTCCCCTCCATGGCCAGCCGCCCTCAGCCAGTGCTGCTAACTCCGGCTGCAGCCCAGTCACAGCCTTGCCTGCGTGTTCACCACACGTGCCTTGGCCACGTCCTTTCTGGGTCAAAAGATCCTGTGCCAGGTCACAACCCTGAGGAAAACCCAGGCCAAGGACCCCCGGGGCACTTTCCAGGAAGCATCAAAGTTGCCCAAACTACATGCAAGAGGCTCACCATGAGCCAGATTAAATGCAAAGGAGAACACTTGTGAGCTCCAAGCATCCTCCCAGAAAGCTAAAACCAGAGTCCTGGGGTCAGCTGATGAGAGTGACAGCGATTCAACTATTTTGGGAAAAGTGGCAGTATTTACTAAAGCAATGCCTACCCTTGTGAACCATCTGTCTGTCCATCTATCTTGAAGGCTTTGGTCAGGCAGCCCTTCCTAGAAAAAAAACACACTCTGGACCCAAAAGGGGACCCTTGACACAAACCCAGTGAGCTCACTTAATTTAACAATTAGCCATTCATGGTGCACGCCTGTAATCCCAGCACTCTGGAGGCTGAGGCAGGAGGACCACCATGAGTTCAAAGCCTGAACTACACAGCCTAACCCTGCCTTCAAACAAACAACCACAATCACACCACACTTTCTCTGATTGTCACAGAATCCCTTCCAGGTTCCTAAGGGGCAGGTGAGCAGCAGGCGTCTGCATGAGGAGGCAGGTCATAGACGCATCGCGCACACAGAAAGTGCAGCGCTGCTAGGAGCCCAGGGTGTGGCAGCAGAGTTCAGGGAGTGGACAGCATGAGTTTCGGTGATGCCTTGAAGGGAGAGAGACAGTGGTGATGGGCAAAGACGTGTCAAGGCCCTGTCATTCGCTGGGTGCCGGCTCTACTGTTGTGCCGTTATCACATCTGTCTTAGGTGTTATTTTATGCGCACGAAATAATGGGTTTTAAAGGGGAAATAACATATAAGATCCAAAGCATTGGCGATGAGAGGTGAAGGGAATAAAGAAAAAGCAGGGGCTTCAGCAGGGAGAGCCACGGGGAGTGCAGACAGCACAAGGTGAGTGTCACAGCCCTCACAGTCACACGCAGCAGGGCAGCACCTGTGGCCCCATCTGTCACGGCACAGGGAGCTGAAAAGCAGGTGTGGGGTGCACACATATAATCCTGGGGGTGTGGGAGGCTGAGGCAGGAGGAGTGTAATTTCAAGCCCAGCCTGGGCAACTTAGTGACTTAGCATGATCTTGTCTCAAAGTAAAATAAATAAATACATAAAGGGTGGGGATGAAGTCCTGGGTTCAACCCCCAATACTGCTAAAGAGAAAAGACAGAAAAAGCTGCCTGTGTCACGTGTGCGTCACAGGTTTACATACTTACTTACTATGCTATGCTTTTCATCAAAATTTTAGAATGCACTCCTCCAGCTTACCTTTGTAAGTGCACTGTAAGGCAGCACATGGATCACACAAGCAGCAGCCCAACACAGCCCATCCCCACACGTGTGTCTGAGCTGCAGGCTGTCCTCTCCCGGCCTCTACACGCAGGGTCCAGTGCTGGTCCCCCTGGAGTGGCAGATCCAGGACAGAGTCAGAAGGGCCTTCGGGCTGGGGGTGCCGGCCACCCTCCAGGCTGGGCAGGGGTTCTGTCCATCCATACACCTGACACACCTGTCCCCAGTGTTGGGTGACATTAAGTGACCACTGCAGTGGTGGCTTGACCAGTCCTGCCACCAGAGGGCCGGGAGCTCGGTAAGCTGACACTCATTCGGGATGAAAAAGCCCCTTCAGCCTGCGGACAAATACCGAGGTGCTTATTTCCCCTTACAAAGACATTTTGCAAGTAGAGAGGAAATTGAATAAAGAACACTTCCCTGTCCCAAAACCCTGAGAAACCCCTCACCCCCTCCCGAGACCACCAGGATCTCCGTCTCCCTGAGGACCCCGCCTGCTGGGGGCGTCGTCCTGCGGCCACAGAGGCTGAGCGTTACCCTCACTCAGCCCAGGGCACCAAGGGGATGGCAGCTGGGGGCACTGCCCCCGGGGGTCTCAGGTGCACTTCCAGTCCCTGCACCAAGGGGCTGTGCTGGGCCCCCGTCACACAGAGCCACAGCCCCTGCAGACCCGACTCCTGCTCAGATGTCCCAAGCCTGTCTCCATGGCGAAGTGAGGCTGCCCGTGCGGCCCCCCGCGGCACAGCTGTCCTTGAGGAGGAGGAGGCCCCTCACGCTCTGCGGCAGCCCGGGTGCCTTCCTGCCATGGTCACCTGGGCTCCTCACCCAAGTCCTCATGTGCCCAGCCAGCGGAAACACCCAGGCTGTGTGACTGACAGGAAGGCAGCGGGGTGCAGTTGGGTTGGGGGGAGAGCCGAGCCTGGCAGATCAGCAGGAAGTGGAGGGTTGGGCTCACTTCCTTCCTCATCTCCTGGCCCCAGGAAATGCCTTCAGGAAGGCCACTGCCTGGTGGCACTTCCTGTTCCTCCCTGAGACCATGCCAAGGTCAGCACCCTGGACAGAGCCGGTGGAAGCAGGTGCTGCTCCCAAGGCCCTGTCCCCTGAAGGCTGAGGCAGAGGTCCTGCTGGCCACCTCCAGCCTTGCTGCTGTCCCAGCCACCAATGAGCATCCCTGCCTGCATCTCCAGCACAAGCTCCTGGCTGCCTGCACCCCAGCCTGCCTAGCAATAGGTGCTGTCTTGTGACCAAGTCCAGAGTAAGTTCTAGATCATAGCCGCCAGGATATGTGCTGTTGGACCTGGAAGCAATGGCTGAGCTCTGGCAGCCATTGTGAGGACATGAAGCTAAGAATCCTAGAGATTAGGGGCTGAGAGCGGGAGAGACCAGCTCCCAATGGCTGTGGGGCTGATGCTGTGTCTCCACCAGCAGCCTGTGGACATGGTTGGTGTGTCCAACTCCCCTTGTTGCTGAGACACAACAGCGAACATCCACAATGTAAGGAAGGAGAGGGCAAATTTACTCAGTCCATGGTTGGACAGGGATGAGAGCAGCTCACAGCATGGTGGACAGGAAGAAGAGAGAGAAAGGGAGGAGCCAGAGAGGGAGATGAAGCCTTCCAGGCCCTCCTCAGTGGCTGCCTCTTCCTGCCAGACCCTGCCTCCTAACAGCTGTCAGCTGTGAGCCCCCTGATCCAGTCACCTCCCCAAGGCCCCCCTACGAGCACCTAAGGCTTCGGGGGACACCCAGATCTAAACCGGAACAGAGGAATCAGCAGTCTTAGGTCGCAGGGGCTCGGTCTCTGGCCGGAAGTCAGGCTTGCCCTGACACGCGGGCCTGTGCAGTGGGGCATCCTCTAGGGGAGGCAGTTTTCTCTGGGGGTGTGGTGTGCTCAGCTCCACCCTCCAGGCTCTGCTGTCTCTCAGCAGGGGTGGGGGCACAGGGCCAAGAGGAAGAGGCTGAAAGGGGAAGCGGCAGCCGAGGAGCAGGCGGGTGCTGCCTGTGAGCGGAGGGCCTGTGGTCTGTCTGGAACCTGGATGGACACCATTGCAGGGCCCTCACAGGTAGGTGCCAGCCGAACAGGGATGGGAGGGACAGCCAGTAGGAAGACGCTGCTCTCTACCTCCGTGGCCTGACCTCCCAGCAGCCCCAGGGCTCACGAAGCCCCCCGCTGGCCCTGCAGTGCCATCTGTGCCCAGTCTACCCAGCCAGGACCCCCAGGAATCAAGGTCCCCAGCAAGCTGACAGCCACGTGGCTGCCTCAGCCTGGGACAGACAGCCAGACCCCATGCCCTGCAGGTTGGGACATCATTTACACCACTGGCCACGACCTCCGATGCCCACAGGGTCCCTCCCACCTGGAGGCTCAGTGCCCTGCCCCAGAGGGATCCCCAGCCCACCCGCTGTAGCTAAAGCAGCCAGCATCTCCACAGGAAGGACAACGGGAGGCACCCAGAGGCCTGCAGGCCTGGGTCACAGCCTGACTTCACCGCCCCATGGGCCCTGGGTCTCAGCCTCTGGCATTGGCCAGGCCCAAACCATGGAGCCTCCCCATAGCTCAGCTAGGGAGCAGGGCCTGGCCAGCCAGACACCCCATGACCCTTCCTCGTGCCCCAGGGGAGGACCACAGAAGGCCCAGAGCACCTGCTCTGTGGTACAGCTCTGGGCAGCAGGGCTACCTGGACTTCAGGCTGGCCTGGCTCCCAGCTCCTAGTTAGGGCCTTCTCAGAGGACAAGAGAGCCTCCATCCCCATGGGCCGCAGAGGGGAAGTCAGAGCATGCCCAGTCTACACTCCATGCCCTTCCAGTGCCTCGCTGCCCAGACAGCACCTGAAGGGTGCTGAAGGGCCAGAGCAGGGCCAGGCCGGAAGGGAAGTGGCCGTCTGCAGCCAGCGGGAGGGCACCGAGCAGCAAAAGCAGAACCAGTGCTTTCAGACTGCTTTGTGTCCTGGGTAGAATGAGGAACCGAGATTCTTGTGTTGACACTGGCCCTGGGGGGCAACAGAAGGAAGGGCCGGGAAGGGGTGAGGTGTGCACGTGATCAGCTGTGTGCCCATAGAGGCCCTACAGGCCGCTGCCTGCCTGAGGCTTGCAGATGGAGCTAGGGACTGGGCCCACACCTGGGCTGCACTGCGGGTGGACCCCACAGGGAGAGGTGACACTGGGTAGGAGTTACTGGTGACGCCTTCCCCCCAACAGATGCCAACTCGACCATGCAGAGCAGCTCCTGGGTGGCCCCGCTCCACACCACCCCATGGCCTGCTGGGCAGAGCTGGCACGGTAGGTCTGGGCCTGAGAGGGATCTGCGGACTCAGCGGTCAGAGTAAATTCTAGTCCAAGTCCTGATTGCAATGATTTTTAAAACTCAACGTTTTCATAAGCTTGTAGGTGTCCAGGCTGCAGTAGAGAAGCCCAAACCAGCCCCGCGGTGGTGGGTGGGGCCGAGCCCACCCAGCCTGCTGCTGACTTGCCTGTGTCCCTCTGCCTGGGGGACTGGGAGAAGCCAGCCACCGGTCACCCCACCTAGAGGGCTGTGCCCTCCTCCCCACCTTTGCACCCCATTCCCAGCCCACCACAGCCGGGCCTCTGGGCCCTCTGACACTGTCTTGGCAGGTTCTGGGGCTGCTGGCTGTGCTGGGGCTGGGCATCATGGCCTTCACCCACCTCCTGGCGCGAGTGTCCCTTCCTCCTGCCTGCTGCCAGCTGCACTCCAAGGAAGAGCCCCTCGGGTCCTGGGAGGCCCTGGGCAGGGAGTCCCAGCCACAGAGGGACTCCTGCCAGTGAGTGAGCACGAGGCTGCTGGGTGGGCAGGGCTTAGCTGGGTGCTGTCTGCCGCCCATCGTCGGGTCCCCAGCCGGGCATCACCCTCCACCAGTACCTGGGGGAGGACTCAGGACAGGGGTCCCGGGACACCTGGTTTGGGTCTGAGAGTGGTGCAGATGGGTGCTGTTTGTAGCCAACCAGAGGTGCCGCTTGAGTTGCAGCGCAGCCCGGTGAGCACTGTGCACTGCCAGGCCTGCCGAGCGCCTTTGCAGTCCTCCCGCCTGAGGTTCCAGCCCATATCTCCTCTTCCCCTTCCTGCCTTTGCACGGGCTTTTGGACCCCAGAACCTCAACTGTCCCTCAGCCACAGGAGGGAGAGGTCCTGGCGGCAGATGAAGTCCTGGGGCCCCCCCTCCAGGCTCGTGGGGCTCAGATCTGCCTTGCTGTTGGTTTAGCTGCCCACTGTGCCGTGGGCTCAAGCCATGGGGCTGCACAGTGACAGTGCCTCCACTGGGCAGCAGAACGGAGCAGGCTAGGGAGGCCGGCTGGCAACCCTGAGGTCACACGCACCCCTCTCGGCCCTTTGCACTATAGGCTTGTCCTTGCTGAGAGCTTCCCCCAGGACTTGCCGTATGCCGCTGGCAGCCCCTCCGCCCAGCCCCTGGCCCAGGCCTGGCTGCAGCTGCTGGACTCTGCGCAGGAGAGCATCCACGTGGCCTCCTACTACTGGTCCCTCACAGGCTCCGACATCGGGGTCAACGACTCGTCCTCTCAGCTGGTGCGTCCCTGGCTCCCGCCTCCAACTCGGAGGCTGCACCTGTCCTTGCCCACCTGCCCAGTGCTGGGCATGCAGAAAGTCAGCCCCGTCCATGCCAACCTGCTAGGGAGGGAGCAGGGCCAGCGCAGCAGAGCCTCCTGGGGCCGGGGTGTCTGGCACAGCCTGAGGTCTGAGCACACGGCTGCCTGGGTGCAGCTCAGCTCCAGGTCAAAAGGTGTCTGGACACCTGCCTAACCCTGGACTGTGGGCAGCCAGGGGCCTGCAGAGGGCAAGAGGTAGGGGTTCCCTGGGGCAGAGGTTCCTGGGGGCTGCCGCTCACAGCTGCCCACTTTGCAGGGCGAGGCCCTTCTGCAGAAGATGCAGCAGCTGCTGGCCAGGAACGTCTCACTGGCCGTGGCCACCAGCAGCTCAGCACCAGCCAGGAACTCCACTGACCTTCAGGTGCTGGCAGCCCTTGGTAGGTGTCTGTGCCCCCCAGGCCCTGCTGCCATCTTCCTGGCACCAGGGGACAGGCAAGGACAGCAGAGCAGCCAGGGCAGGGCGGGAAGGACTTGTCCCACATCTCCCAGGTCCCTTGAGGGGCTCTGCTGAGCTCAGGGCAGGTGCCAAGCAGCACAGAGAGTCTCTCTCCACAAGCCCTGTGTGCAGAAGCCCGGGAAGCTCAGGGCAGGAAGGGTCAGCAACAGTTCTCATAAGCTCCCAGAGGGACCCTGGCCAGCCCAGGCCTCAGTTTCCTTGTCTGTGGAGAAGGTCAGTAACAGCAGCCACACAGCAGGCTGGTCTGAAGGTAACCAAGCTGGCTCAGTAGCAAAGAGCTCAGAATCCAGCTCAGCATGAAGCTGGCCTTCTGCAGCCCACCCGCTCTCCTTCACCCGTCAGGTGCCCAGGTCCGATGGGTGCCCATGCGGCAGCTCACCGGGGGTGTCCTGCATTCCAAGTTCTGGGTCGTGGATGAGCAGCACGTCTACATGGGCAGCGCCAACATGGACTGGCGGTCGCTGACGCAGGTGAGTCCCAGGAGCCCCCCATTGCCCGGGCCTTTCCCTGATGCACCCTGAGGAAGTTGGGGTCACGGAAAGTCAGTGAGCAGAGCGAGGGGCATGCTTCCTGCAGCAGAGTGAGCCAGACTGGCTCCCAAGCCCCTGGTGATGAGATTCGACACAGCCCTGCAGGCGTGGCGTGGAGGGACACTTAAGGGCATGGCCAAGTGCCCGAGTCACACCGTGTAGGGACCCATGCAGATTACACAGCATGCACCTGTTTTCAAGAAGCAATGAGCTCTTGCTTCATTGCAGAGGGCAGAGGGCTGGGCAGAGGGCTGGGGCGCAGCCTGGCACTGGAGAGTGCACTTAGCACGTGCCGAGCCCTGGCTTCAACCCCAGCACCAGAGAAAGAAAGTGTTGCAGAACATGCACATGGTGCCCGTGCCACGGCTCACAGAGCCATGGAGAAGGGCGTTTTCCCCTTTTGCTTGTCTTCATGGGTTTTTCTGTTGCTTGGGTAATAAACAGTGTTGCTGTGATCACTGTGTGGGATCACCGGGGGCCCATGGAGCCCTGTGCCCTCTCCCACCCTGGCGTGGCCCCCGTCACAGAGCCCTCGGACAGTGCTGCCACCGATGACTCTGGTTCCCACAGGTGAAGGAGCTGGGCGCCATCATCTACAACTGCAGCAGCCTGGCCCGGGACCTGGAGAAAACTTTCCAGACCTACTGGGTGCTGGGAGCGCCCCACGCCACTCTCCCCAAGACCTGGCCTCGGAACTTCTCGTCCCACATCAATCGCCTCCGGCCCTACCACGGCCTCTTCAGCGGGGTGCCCACCACTGCCTACTTCTCGGTGAGGCACTGTGGAGGGCCTGGCCCTGAATGCCCACAGCAGCTGCTTGGTCCTAGGGAGCCATGGGGCTGCAGGCCCAGAGTGACGGCAGGTGGCGCTGGCAGGGCTGGGGCCGGTCAGGGGCGCAGGCTCAGTTCTAGGAAGAGCTCAGCAGGCTCACGCAGCAGGAGACAGACATTCAGAAGGTTGGAGGTCCATTCGGAGCCTCAGAACAAGGCAAGCAGGGGTCAGGAGGTGCTGGCCAGGCCTTGGGGGGAGCAGGAGGCCCTCGCATCAAGCATGCCTTATTCTTTGGGAGGAAGTGGATACCACAGCCCCAGTCAGAGCCCTCCAGGCGGTGCCTCAGCTATCCCGGCAACTGACCCATGGCAGGGACTCCACATCAGAATGAGGACACCTCACATGTGGGGTCCCACTCTGGAGGGAGTGAGCAACTTCCTGGGGCAAGGACAGCCTGGGATAGTCAGTCCAGCTTGGAGCCAGGAGGCCCCGCCAGTATTCACCAGCCTCACATCCTGTTAAGACCTGCTCCTCCCCAGACAGCATCTCTGCCCTGCAGCCCATGCACACGCAGACAGGGCCTCTTGGGGGCCTGTGGTGGGGTTCTGCTCAGGGATGCCCAGGGCCAGGGTGGGGGCCAGCTGAGTGCCTCAAGGGATGACTCCCTGCCACAGGCTTCACCACCTGCGCTCTGCCCACACGGCCGCACCCGGGACCTGGACGCGGTGCTTGCGGTGATGAGCGACGCACGGGAGTTCCTCTACGTCTCGGTGATGGAGTACTTCCCCACCACCCGCTTCAGCCGACCTGCCAGGTGGGATGGGCAGGAGGTACGCCCTGGAGGGTGGAGGCTGAGCAGCCCCTGGGCGAGCTCCCCTCCCTCCTGCTGCACCCCCGCTCCTCCAGGTACTGGCCAGTGCTAGACAATGCACTGCGGGCGGCAGCCTTTGGCCAGGGTGTGCATGTGCGCCTGCTGGTCAGCTGCTGGCTGCATACTGACCCCACCACATTCCCGTACCTGCGGTCACTGCAGGCCTTCAGCAACCCCACGGCCGGCATCTCTGTGGATGTGGTGAGACCCATGTCAGGGACCAGGGTTGGGGGGGACCTGCTCCTCCCAGCCCAGCCTGACGGTTCCTCCCCCTCTGCCCCGGAAGAAAGTGTTCATCGTGCCCCTGGGGAATCACTCCAGCATCCCATTCAGCCGGGTGAGCCACAGCAAGTACATGGTCACGGAGAAGGCAGCCTACATAGGTAGGTGGCTGGGGGAGCTGTGTGTCCTGGGCAGGGTCTACTAGGATGGAAAGGGTCTCCAGGGGCGTTTGGGGGACCTAGTGATCAGCCCTGCTGTCAGCAGGAATCCAGGGGCACAGGTGGGGAAATCCTGAGCACAGGGGTCCAGGAGGCTGAGTCAGGACACCCGTCCTCATGTGACATGGAGGAAGCTCTGCTATGAGGAGCTCACTGGCCCTCCTGTGTCTCCTTGAGGGTCTCCAGATCTGTGGAGGGCTGCAGTGGGGGCCAGGCTGCAGAGCCTATGCCCAGGGACCCAGTGTCTCTCCACTCACCTCCCCAGGCACCTCCAACTGGTCGGAAGACTACTTCAGCACCACCTCAGGGGTGGGCCTGGTGGTCCACCAGCAGGCCCCCAGGGCCCAGCCGGGACCAACCCCTGTGCAGGAGCAGCTGCGGCAACTCTTCGAGCGGGACTGGCATTCCCACTATGCTGTGGGCCTAGATGGACGCACCCCGGGCCAGGACTGTGTTTGGCAGGGCTGAGGCCCAGCCCCGGCTCCGCCCCCACCATCCTCATAGATGCTGCTGCCCACTGGGGCATCAGTTCGATATGGAACTGTGAAAGCAAAACAACTTTACTTGGGCCTGAGAACCGCAACTCGGATGAATGCAGATTCTGCAGTTCTGACCGCGAGCTCTAGGGTCACTCAGATTGCGTGTGGCTAAGTGAGCCCGGGGATGCCCCACAGTGCCTGGGGAAGAAGGCAACAGTGTGGAGAGCGGCCCAGCACTCCACTGGGCCCCACTGGCTCCCACGATCCACTGCAATGGCTGCTATCCCAAGTGTAAAGCTTTGGGTCATGGTGACCACTGTCTAGCTGCAGCCCTAATAAGAGACACGCATGCTGTGGCCTGGCCCAGGTCAAGGTTAGCACTTGTGGTCTATTCCTTGCCCCAGTCACACGTGCACCGGCCTACCTCTGCCTCCAGGCTGAGAGGCTCTTTACCAAGGTCGGCGTGTCTCAGCCCTCCATCCATGTTCCGCTGGAGCTCTGCAGCTGCCTCCTGCCCACGTCCTCCTGGGTCCCAACTGCTCAAGCCTCATGATCCAGACGCAGGCCCTAAGCACTCCTTCAGGGAGCCCTTGGGACACCCCAGCTCTGACGCCCCAAAGCTGCAGTCTGGGCACACAAGCGAGGCTGTCCTCTGTGTGGGTCTAGCGGGCACTCCCTGTCCATGGTCCCCCGGACTGAGGGAAGCCAGCCATGAGCCCACTGAGTCTCACCCATTCCAGCCTGCGGGACATGGGGCAGGCGGGTGGGTGGCACCAAGGACCACCTGTGGGGCCGCCACCCTCCCGGCGCCTGGCCTGGACACAGAATTTCGGCTCATGGGGCCGCTGGGAGCGAGAGCCGTGGGCTCGATGGCTCAAGCATGCGAGAAGGGTGATGGGTGCGAGGGCCAAACCCACTCACACAGCTCCCCCGTGTGGCAGGCACGCAGGGCTGGGGTTTGTTGTGGACGCTGTGGGTGGGGCCTCGATGGGCAGGCCCGGGGCTGTGGGCAGGGCCATAGGTGGGTCTGGGGACTGGGCGTGGTATACATAGCGGGGTTCTGGGTTTGTGGGCGTGGTCTGTGTGGGCGCTGGTGTGGGTGATCTGGGGCTGTGGGCAGGACCATGGGTGGGTCTGAATAAGTAGGCTTGGTGTGCGTCAGTGGGGTTCTGAGTCTGTGGGTGCTCTCATGGGGCAGGGCCCAGGGCTGTAGGCAGGGCTCTCGGGGGTGGCACAGAGCTGTAAGGGTGGGGCAGGTGCATGGGGGGTGGGCCTGGCACGAAGCACCAGGTGCCAGGGCAGGCTCAGTGGCAGCACCCAGTCAGGAGTATTGGGGTGGGTGCAGAGGGTGGGGATTTGAGCTGTGGGACAAAGCGTGTGTCTCACCGGTGCAATCCAGCTCCACTGGGCAGGCTGCCAGCTGAGCCCCACGTCTGCTGTGGGTCTGCTGAAGCTCTCTGCTCATGGCCTGACAGTTCTATCCAGGCCTCGAGGCCACACCGCTGGAGCCTGCCTCAGTGGTGCAAAGGGCACTGGGCGCCATGGACACCAGGGTCCTGCCCTCTGCAGTCCTGGGTGCCTCTCCCTGCCCCTTGGGTCCTGCTCCAGGGAGATGACACAGCTCACCTGGTCTCTCTGCCTTCACAGTGCCCTTCTACTTGCCCATCTACAGGGTGTCTTGGACCTCAGCATCCCACGTGCCAAGCCCAGCTACCCTGCCTGGCTTGTGTGGCCCTGGAGTGTGTGTGGCTGGGGAAGCCAGATGTAGCCCATCCTACAGGTCCCCCAGCTCCTGGGGCTGTGTCCCTTGTGCCCGATGGGCAGGCACCCTCCTAGCTTGTCATCTCACTTGTGGGGGGCAGGCCTAGGCCTCACCTGTCACCAACAGAATGCCCAAAGGGCATAGGCTGTCACCTGACGTAAGAATGTCCCACGGCCCTCCTGACAGTCTGTCCCTAGTGGCCTTGACAGTGTGAGCTGTCCCAAAGAGAGGGCCATGTGGTAGAGCACTGGAGACCCCCAAACACACAGCATGGAGGACTTATACAGGGACACGGAGCCCCCAGTAACAGAGGGCTCTGCCACTCAGGTACCACCCACAGCACCTGGTCTGACTCCAGGTCCAGACAGGACTGCCATGTGCCCAAATGGCCTGCACACATGGTGGGCAGCGCAAGGGAAGGCCCCTAGCAGGGAGTGCAGTAGCCCTGGACACTCCCTTTCCAGAACTTTCCCATCCCCTGACTTGGACAGCCCAGCCAGTCATGAGGGAACATGGTGGCCCACGGTGGTATGGGGCAAATACAGCCTGTGCTCTGAGATACTCTTGTCATTACCCTCTGGGCTTCTCAGGCCCTCCGGGCAGCCACAGGCCAGCAGCTGTCCTCCTCAGGACAAGCAGACCAGCTCTGGGACTGGAGGGCATCCACAGGCAGCAGGGGTGATGCAGAGACCCCCCACCCTCCCTGCAGCCCCAGTGGACTCGCTTCCCAGGACTGCCCAGAGGGAGGCCACTGCGGCCAGGGCAGCTGTGGAGCACAGACACAGACCTGGCCAGGGACCCAGCCAAGCCCTCTGCTCTCTGCTGCCCCTGCCTGGCACATGGTCTTCCATCCCAGCACTGCCTCTCTGATGCCAGGAGAGGGTGTGTGTCAGTGTCTCCTGCCAGCTGGCTTCTTTCTCCACATCCCTCTCACGGTCCCTGGCCACACAAATGAGAAGGGACAGCCACTCTGGGCCACACCCTGGACTCTAGCTTCTGGAGTGACCCAGCAGTGGCCAGGGCCGGGAGTGCCTGGGGAGAGCAGGCACGGTGAGTTTGGCCCCCAGAACAAAAGAGCTCATCAGCCTTTATCACTGGGACGCACTGCTTCCTTTATTGCCACCAGGGGACCACTAAGCCTGCTCCACCGGGGCCTGGTGCAGCTGTACAAGCTGGGTTCTGGGTTCTGGGTTCAGGGTTCAGGGCTGAGCACGCTGGAGGAGCAGCAGGACACGCAGACACTAGGTCTGCATTGGGAAGAATCTAGGTGGCTTCTTTGCCTCCGAAGCCCGGCAGGAGCTGGTGCATATTGGGTTCTGTTTAGGGCAGTGTGAGGTGCTGTCGGCCTCTGCTTTGCTCAGCTCTGTGAATTGGGGTGCTGTGCAGGGCCAGGACAGGGAGCTCTGTGCAGGTGCCCAGCCACTGCCCTGATGTTGCACCTGTGCAGCCTTCATTTGCTCGTGGGCCTGGGTTCAGATTCCTCGCTGGCGTGAGGGTCTGGCTCCAACAGGATCAACTCCGTTCTCGCTGGGGAGGCCACCATGCCGGTGGTGCCTGGGGCGCTCACGCCTGGCTCACCTTCCTTCTCCTCAGGGGAGAAGCTTTCCCGGGCGTCAAAGAAGGTGACACTTTCTTCCTGGAGCAGCTGCTCAGCCACGCCTGTCTCGTCCTCTACACTTTTCGTCTTCTTGGTGGGCGAGGAGGAGAACCCTAATTTGGGAAACCGGAACCAGCCCACTCTCTCCTGCCTCTTAGGCGATTCCAAGTCTGGCCGAGGCCCTGGCTGGGTCTGGACAGGAACAGATCCTTGGGTGTCTTCTCTGGAGTCGGCAGTGGTGTCGCTGACAGTGGAGGAGAACCCGATGCTCGGAAGCCAGGACCAGAACGCACCAGGCTTTTTTCCTCCTGGCCTGCCTTTCAGAGCTCTGTCTTCAGCCGCTGGTGGTGCTGCAGCCTCCTCACTGTCCTCGGGCAGAAACTCGAGGATCTCTGCAGGCTCTTCATCGTCAGAGCCACTGTCTGCAGTCGGGGCCCTGGCAGGAACTTCAGACCCTATCGTCGGCGGCCTGGGGAGGCTGGCACTGGCAGAGAGCACCTCGAATGGCTCTGCGGCCTCAGGGGCACTGTCCTCAGGGAAGGAGTCTGCTCTGGCGGCAGCAGAGCCCTCCTGTGCCCTGGGATCTGGAGCTTGAGCAGGAGGCCCTAGGGGCTTCAGCTTCAGCAAAGAAAACCCATAAGAAGGCGTCTGCATAGTGGATGTGTGGATCTCTGACTCCCGCACCATCTGAGTGGAAATGGTCTCGGGGACCATGAGCTCCACACACTCTCGCCTCACCTGGCTGCACACCATGACCTCGCGACTCTCGCCCTGCGCCCCCTGGATGTGCACCTTCACCTTGGACACTGGGGAGGCTTCCAAGGCTTGGTCAGGGCCTGCAGGCTGCTCCCTGGGCTCCCCAGGGCCCGCCCTCAGGAGGCTGGCATCCCAGAGCCCGGGCCCCGGGTCCACACCTACCCCTCTTCCCCGCTCGTCTCTCACCACGGGGAAGAAGATGTCTGCCTCTGAGCCAGGGGCTGGGAAGGAAAACTTGGGCACTCGGAGCTTGGGGAATGTGACTGTGAGCACAGAGTCTTCCCAGAGCTGCCGCATGTCCACCACGGAGACCTGGGATGGCACGTTGGTGCTGGACACCCTCAGCGTCACAGGCCCTTCTGGCAGGGAGGGCTGCAGCTCTGTTTTCTCCTCCGCCCTGGTGAGGGTGCACCTCTCTGCCGCAGGAGCCTGGGGCTCTAAAGGCCTCCCGCTGGGTTCCTGAAGAGGAAGGGAGCCTTCAGCTGGACGAGTGCGGACCTTGGAGGGGGGCTGGTCCCCTCCGGTCCCCCCCACAGTGGGGGGCTGTGGCTTCAAGCCTGAGCAGTAGAGATCACGCTTCAGAACATCTGAGTAGCATGCACTTTCACAGCCTGTCACAGTGGCCGCTGTGTTTGGGGACTGCAGGGACACACTGGCCTCCACTTCTGACCCAGGAACACAGGACACCAGGGCACTGCCAGCTGCGGCCGCCTGTGCCGGTGCAGTGGCCACCAGCATGTACGCCTGAGCCACGTCCTGCTCCCGGGCCCCGCCTCGCTCCTTGGATGAGGGCCGCCCGAAGCCAGGCATGCGGAGCCTGGGCATTTTGAACCAGCGCTCTTGCAACTCAGGTGCTGTACCCTCCGCAGTGGGGGCCTCCTCTGGTCTGTCCAGGGTGGGGACTTGGTCTGCATGTCCTAGGGATGGCTTCAGGGGCTCTTCTATGGTGGGGGCTGTCCCCTCCCCATGGGGCCCACTGGCTGAAATGTCCCCAAGCCCAGATACTTTGCTGTCTCTTTCTACCGCCGAGTCCCACCTGCGATCAGCCTCACGCTGGCTTACCCCCTCCTTGGCTGGGGAAGATGGGACGTCGGGTTTGGCAAAGGCTACCCTAGGGAAGGGAGGCTGGGGCAGCTGGTGGGCCACATGCCCTGCTTCTTGGGGTCCATCAAGAAGGCCAGTGCTGCCCACACCACCCTCACTTCCACTCCTTCCTGTGGCTTCATGGTCACCTGTGGCTGCGCTGCTAGAAAGCAGTGTGTCTGCGTCTCCCTGTGGCTTCAGACCAGCCTGTACCTTGGACGCCTTCAACTTGGGAAGGGCCAGTCTTGGGAGCGTGAAGCCAGCCTTCCTGGTCTTCCCCAAATCGCCTTCCTTCCCTGGAGGAGGGGCCTCATGTGCCTCCATGCAGGAGCCCTGAACCCCAGGGTAGAAGTCCTCATGACCCAGATCCACAGTGAGGCTGCCTGAGTGATCCTCCAGTTGGCGTGAGGTATCTCCTGCTGGTCTGGCCTCCTTCTTTGACAACCGGCTGAACAATGGCAGCTTGAAGCGAGGAGTTTTGAAGGAACCCCCAGTCCCTTCCCCATCAGCACCTTCTGCAGAGGCTTCTTCTACAGACAGGCTTGGGGCCTCCTCCAACATCTGTGACGCAGGAGCAGCCCTGGGTGCCGGCTGGGAGCCTGACAGTGGGGACACTTTAACTGCACGAGCAGAGGAGTCCTGCCCCAGCTCTTGGCCAAGGGGCGGGGCCAGACTGCACTCAGCAGTGCCTCCCTCAGGAGCCACTGCAAGTGGGACTGGAACCATGAACCGTGGTTTGTGGAATTTAGGGAAAGTCACCCTAAGAGACAGGGGATCTTCGAGATAAGAGTGCTGGCCAGTGGGGCTGGCCTGAGGATCCTGCTCAGCCTGGGGGTCCGCAGAGCACTGTGATCTGACAGAAGGGGCCAAGGCTAGGGACCCAGAAGCACCATTCTGGGGACCTCCGGGCGCGAGCACAGCAACTGGGAATTGGGTGAGCGCCACGCACTCAGAAGGAGGGAGGAACGAGGATGCTGGCCCACTACAAGTGAGGTCAAAGCTCCCACTGCTGTAGGAAGGGAGACCCGAGAGGGTGAGCTTGGGCAGCACCATGGCTGTGCGTGAGCCTGAAACAACTTGTTCCACAGGCTCAAGAGGAGACAGATCAGGCCCTACAGAGGGAGCAGGCGGAAGGAGGGCTGAAGGACGAGGCTTTTCAGGCCCAGGAGCTCCCTTCATTTCTTTAAACTGTGAAAAATGGAAGGAAGGTACTTCAACAGAAGAGATCTTGAACCTACTGTCCCCTGCATCTGAAGAATACGTCACATCAGAACTCGTATGGGATTCAACTGGAAAGTGACCTTCAGGGTTATCTCTATCGTGAGAGTCCAAAGGGTAAAAAATTTCAGCAAACTTCTGATGGTTTAAAACATCACTAGAGGATACAATAATCCCACCACCAGAAGACAACGAACATGGAACCAGCAGAGAGGGCACATCTAATGAATACGCTTTGGCAGATACCTCGCCCTGCAGCTTGCCGCCCGGGGCCTGCACGTCCACCTCCACGCTGGGCAGCGACACCTCCAGCTCG